CTACCAACTCCATTTAACTGCCGGTTTTATCCTAATTTAAGATGCAATGAAAAAGCTCTAACATGTGAAACTGTTAATTAAGTATTTTTACTTTTATTACCAATTTTGGCATAAAATTAAATAAAGCTGTCTATAAACGCCAGATGCAGTTTAGCTACTTTGATGGATAGCATAATGAAGTTGAAGATGATCGCTCAATACAGAATTAGCCAAAGCTCACAGATGAAGCTTTTAGTTTGAGAAATGGTTAGTCAAGCGTTTAATGCTTTATAAATGGTTGAGTTTTTTATAATAATAATAATAGTCTCCCGTTTTATACCGCACGCGGCTTTGGGAGTATAGCAGGGTAGTCTGCTATATCTAGGGCCTACGGTTATACAAGGAAGGTAACATGGCCAGTGCTACGCTTCAACCGCCTATTATTACCCCTGGTTTTACCCAAGGTACTCATTTTATTCAGGCTGAGTCGACCTGGGGCCTATAGACATTTTAAAAATGCCTAGTTGTTCTTGCCGGCGGTAGGATTCGAACTCACGACCACCGGCATGCGAGGCAAGCACACTACCGCTTGCGCTACGCGGGCGAGTTTTTTATACAGCAAAATAATATAACATTCTATATCACATAAGCTTATGAGTTAGTAGTACAGTGGAACTCGCTTATTACTGCCTCGGTAGTTACGTCATCTCGGTTATAACGTCAATTTTTAATAGGTCCGGTCAAAAACTATTCCATAACGTTATTAAAAACCCGGTTTTATCGGCTAAAAATAAACTAACCCTCGGTTATAGCGTCATAAAATTTTATAGTAGGTTATCTTTTTTTTATTTTATGAAGAATAAAGTGCAATGCGTTTCTGGCTTTGCGGCATTTGTTCCTTCCAAGAATGTAAGAAAGGTCCATTATCCCTTCTGTGTACAGTTATGTTACCCTGACAATCTATAATTTCGCATTTATCAGTGCCGTCCTAACACTCACAGTCAAATTTTCTGTTTCGGAACAGTCGGTTTAAGAAATTTTCGCTACCGTGAAATTGTGTTCGGATCGTTTTGTCTTTTTTTTATTTTAATTTGGTAATTAGCTTTTATTTTTTAATATGGCAAGTTGTAGCACTAAAAGGAAGGTTTTGCCTATTAAAGAAAAAGTGCGTGTTATAAGACCATTTGAAAGTGGTCGAAAAATTTGCTGATGTATGCCGGCAAGTTGGACTTGTTAATTCGACTGTCGGCTCAATCATAAAAAACAAGGACAAAAGTTTATAAGCCTTTAAAGAGAATGGAAACAATGTTAAAAAGATTAGGAAGTGCATTCGTGGTGATGTAGATTCAGCTCTACTCAATGGTTCAAGCAGTGTCGCAGTTCTGATATCCCTGTGTGCGGGCCACTTTTAAAGGAGAAAGCTACAGAGTCCGGAAAATTGTTTGGTGAAGATTTCACATGCTCTAACGGCTGGTTAGATCGGTTTAAAGCCAGGCACTCAATTTCCTTCTCGAAAATTGTTGGAGAGGCAAAATGTGTGGACGAGAACGTAACAAGTGACTGGTTACAAAACACATGGCCACAACAAAGGCAACCATACAAAGATGAAGATATCTTTAATGGTGACGAGACAGGTGTCTTTTATAAATTAACGCCAGACAAAACTTTAAATTTTAAAAATCAAAAATGTGTCGGTGGAAAACTTTCCAAGCAAAGAGTGACGGCTTTTGTTTGTGCAAATATGACAGGTACAGAGAAAAGAAAGCTTTTGGTTATTGGGAAAAGTTTACATCCTAGATGTTTCAAAAACATTAAAACACTACCTGTAAACTACACAGACAATAAAAAAGCATGGATGACTTCTGCTATTTTTGAAGAAGAATTGAGAAAGTGGGACAAGGAACTCTCTTCAAAAAAAGAAAAATTCTTCTCCTAGTCGACAACTGTGCAGCCCATCCCAAACTTAATTTGACCAATATAAATCTAGTGTTCTTACCAGCCAACTGCACGAGTGTCTTGCAGCCTATGGACCAGGGAGTCATAAGAAGTTTAAAGTGCCATTATCGAAAACAGCTTTTAAAAAGAATGATTTTTTGTATGGATAATGGAGAACCTGTGAACATTACCATCCTGGATGCTGTTCAGTTTTTAGACAATGCGTGGAGTGCGGTTACGTCAGTGACAATTCATAAGTGTTTTCGTCAAGCAAAATTGACTGTAGCTTCTCTCAATGTTAAGGACGTTGATAAAGATGACGAAATGCCTTTGTCAGAGTGGATACAAAAATTTAATGTGAATCAGGGAGCGTTCGGAACTGATCTTGACTCCTACATTTCAGTAGACGATGAGGTGGAAACATTTCAAGTCCTAAGTGATAAAGAAATTGTTGAACTGGTGCAAAACGTGGAAATGGATGTCGATGAAGCTGAAGAAGAAGAAGACATCGTTGCTTGTCCTACAATCCAAGAAGCAATGAGAGCTGCTGAGACCATGTCCAGGTTTTACCAGTTCAGGGAGGCATCCACAAATACCAAAGAAGCAGCTCAGCTTATTAAGGAAACAACAGAAAAACTTTATTTTTCGGAAAGGGTTGTGCAAAAGAAAATAACGGACTTTTTTCAGCAATAGAACTTTTTTACACAATATAAGTTTCATATACATACGTAATATGTTTTGTTTTTTAATTATTTTTTATCCTAAAATGATTCTTTTTTTTTTAATTTGACTTAAGTAAATGTTATATTTTCGGTATATCGTAAACTATGTTAAATTATCATGTTTAGGCCCAAAGTAATTAACAAATAATATATCTACTATACCCAATAATGCTGTAATAATATTTTCTCTCATTAAAATTTTATTTTTCTCAACCTCTTTTTTAACGTCACTCTGATATAGAGTCATTTTTTTATTGGACCCTTCAATGACGCTATAACCAAGTTCCACTGTATATTCAAGTCACTAACTTACAGTAACAAAAAAATAACGATTAAACATTTTATACCATTTCCTCGCAAGATATAAATACTACAAGCTTGATGCTGATGCTTGGTGATGTTGGAACGCAACTGTTCACGATGGTTTATAATGTACATATATTCGACCACGCATCTGGTAGTACCTGACTAATTGACCAGCTTTCATATTGTGGTTATTAGTAATACTAACAATTTTTGTAAAGTAACCAATTAGAATAAACTGATTGGTATACCCTTTACAAATTACTAATTTCATATGTAAAAAAACACGAAAAGAGAAAACATAAAATTAGAAGTAAAAAACGGAGTACTGGTTAATAAAAACACATTTTAACTTAGAAAACTCTTGTGGATGAACGTAATAAAAATTAATAATGTCAGATATATTTAAGCATTTTAAAATAAAAGGGACCTTCTTCATATCTGAGTAACAGAATGAAGACAGAAACATGAATAAAATTAGAAATACCTAATATATGATGGTGTAGTAACCAAGGGTTACATGAAGTTGAACAACTAGCCCAGGACAGAGAAGGATGGAGGGAAATCATAAAAAAACTGTGAAGGCCTGATGGTGTCACCACATCCCAAAAGGGATTAGGACTGAGGAGGAGGAATATATGATGACTTCTCACGATTTAGTATCCAAATACAGATCCAAAGTACCTTTTCAAGTGGACAGCTCTGAGGAAAGACACAACTCAACCTTCAGGAATTTCCTAGAATGAGTTTTATGCAATCTTGCATTCTACAAGAGAAATTAGCATAAGAGCTTTCGTACTAAAGTAGATCAGTATTTGCATTGATAGTCAAGTGGCTATGAGGGCACTCAGGATACCAGAGGTAGTTTCTATTAATAATAATAGAAACTACTAGAATTCTTATATTCAACTTTGTGACGTTTAAGTGAGTAATAATATAAATAATAAAGGTTTTAAAGTTAAATCATAAGTATTTTTGGAGCGCCACTGCTTTCTTTCTCTCACTGCGAAAGTCTGTCTGAAAGAGCAGGATTAAAGATAAACTTTGAGAAAACTAAACTTATAACAAATCTCGCAATGAGTGGAAATATAACTATTGACAATAAAACATACAACAAACAGACACTTACAAATATCTGGGACACGAAATCAAAATAAGCAGAGACAATCAAACACATGAAATACAGAGGCGAATAGGCCTAACTTGGGCAGCATTTGGCAAATTAAGCCATATTCTAAAAAGTTCAATTCCCATGTGTCTCAAGCGAAAGGTTTATGACCAATGTGTTTTACCTGTACAAACTTATGGAGCGGAGACTTTAACACTCACGCAAAAATCTGCGAATAATCTCAGAGTTACGCAACGAGCCATGGAACGTGCAATGCTGAACGTGAGCCTTCGAGACCACATAACAAACCAACAAATCAGGCAAAGATCAGGAGTTCAAGACGTCATCGAAAGAACCACGTCGCTTAAGTGGAACTGGGCAGGGCACTTAGCCAGAGCACAAGATGGACGGTAGACAAGACGTATAATGTAATGGAGGCCCAGAAACTATAAAAGAAGCCGAGGACGACCACCGACTAGATGGACCGGTGATATAAAAACGTGTAGCGGAAAACTGGCTACAAGCGTCCCAGTGTAGAGAACACTGGAAAGAACTGAGGGAGGCCTATGTCCAGCAGGGACGTGATTGGCTGATTGATGATGATGATGACTGCTTTCTTTGGTGAGGCTTTACTGTCTCTAGAAATTTCCGCCACTATAGTTGAAACATACTCTACCTAACCTTTACAGCAAAAATTTATTAATTGTTGGAAAAAGTATTGAAAAATTTTGTAATAGCTTTAGAAAAATCCAAGCCGTAAAAATATTTAAAAAATATTTCAAATTAAAAAAAATATTTGGGTTAAAATTAACTCTTTCGCAATTTAGGACCCAACTAGTTACAGCCAATATAATTTCAAAACATCTAAAATTTCCTGTGTTAGTATACCACAAAACAAATATTGTTTAAAACAAGCCCACAAACATTACACAACCACCTACCAATTATTAAAATCATGGAGAATCTCTGGTACCCAATGGATTATTTTCTCTAGTTCTAGATCGCTTAACTAAGCACAAAATAAAGTCAATTAAGTAAGTATTTTAAGTCGAAATTGAAACTGTTCAAGCGTTTATCACTTTATTATATATTTTAATCAATTTAACTTTGATATATACATGGGAGTATACACAAATTCTCTTTAAACAACCAAATTTTTTACAGGTGCTTAATCTACTTTATATATTTTATATTTATATTATTACTAAGTAAAGATAAGAACGACTCAACCGAAGTATCAGGCGATAACCAGGTTTTGTTAGTTTTTTTCTGGTATTCTGTGGAAGTGAGCATTCTTTCCCTAGCTTCGCGTGGGGATGTGACTAGGATCAAAAAACAAAGCAGTAAAAGCATCAAAAACAAAAGCATGAAAAACAAAGCAGTAATAAATGATAAAACAGGGGGGATTTACTTTTTAGATGCACGTGGTGGTACAGGAAAAACTTTTTTGATTTCATTGATATTAGCAACCAAGCAGCAAAGACCAGCAGATCTTCCAAGAAGAAATTCGCAATTTAAAAAAAGAAAATCGTGAGTTAAAGGGAAAGGTAAATTTCCTGGAAAGCAGGATCGAAAAGATGGATAAACAAATTCGGAAACAAAACATTGTGATCAAAGGATACGATTTCAAAGAAAATGAGGAACTGGAAGATGCCACCAACTTTATAGCAAGTCAGTTGAATGTGAATGTGAAAATAAAAGATGTGCAGAAAATAAGAACTTCTCAAGGGAAACTACCAGTGGCGATAGTAAAAGTAGATACAATGAAGGATAAAGAACTTATTATGAAGAATAAGCATACATTAAGAGGAACGCGGTATTAAGTTCCTTTCCTATTATTATTATTCCTATTATTAAGTTCCCCTCTTAGTTTGAAGCCCCCTGGCAGACATCCCAGTCGGGGTTTTAGTGGGTCCAAAAGGGTGACCAAAGTTCATGGAAGCGAAGATACTTAAGTCACCCCAGCTGACACTTACACACTGCCCTATCATCATGGTCATGGTTCTGTTTAGGAGAACTAAAGAAATAATCTGCCACATCCAACTCTATTTGACAGAACGACGTCTGTCGGGTCCGCTAGTTCAGTAATAAAATCATATTTTAGTATAATCCAACGCCATAGGGATCCACTTAACTGTTATCCACAGTCATTCCACTCAATTTCTTCTGAAATTTTGACTAGCAATAAATCAACCTGTTTCAAAAACAAAATATGATTGATTAAGACTCTATTGAAGATTAAGGTAGGTTGAACTGTCAGTTGGTAGTTCGGATTTCGTTCCTAGGTGGCGCTATAAGTTATCATCCCGAACAAACTGTGTTTTCGCTTGACATGTTGTCCTAGTCTTTTATTAGATTTGATTAATTTGCATAGCACATATCAAAAAGATACATTCATATAAATTAATATTGTTGTGTGTTTTTTTTGAGGATTACTGACCACAGAATCAATATTTATTCGCCATCTTACATTATTATTGCTCATAATTATCATTACCAACCTCTAAATTATCTATCTTTAAATTACGTTGGTATAATTACAATGATATGTCGAAGTTTTTTTGTCGAAAACTAAATTTACTACGTGAACTGTAATGGACTGTCATGAAAAACTCAAAATAGTGTATTAGGACCACAACTGTAGAAAAAAGTGTTATAAATATCGCTATTTACTTACATTGTACGTAGACTAGATAATAACAGAAATGTGCTTAATCCTGCATATTTTGTAAATTGTTGTATAGAGTACACAAAACAGCTAACAAACTTAGTAACAAATACTTGAACAGTTTGGCAATTATAAACAAATCAAGAAAACTTACGAGACTTTCTGTCAGCATGTCTGGTTCTCTTTCTCTCCCTGGGGGCAGTTCTGGTTGAAGGCGCTTTAGTGGCGGTTTTTACCAACGTTTCGATCAGCTCGTCGTCTCCATCAGTCAAGTTGCCGTTTCCGGTGTTCATAAAAGACCTATTACTTTCTCTGCGCGTTCTTCTCCACGGAAGTGTTCCTTGAAGACTTTCTACATCGGACATATCGCTGCCGAGTAATTGGCGGAGCTCTGCGTCGGCTCTGTCTTCTTTTGTTCTGAATTTTCCTACCTAAAATTGTCATTACACATTAGACAAATTGTATTTTGAGAAAAAAGTATTTTTGAAATAATATTGGATTAGTGTTTATATCACTATTACAATGTAGATAAGTGAAAAGTCAATAGGATGAAAAACAGTGGTTAATAACAAAACTTCTTCTTCTTATCTTTGTATGTAGACATGGCACTGTCTGTTTTTCAAAGTGCCTCCAGTAAGTTGTCGTTCCACAGTTTTCGTGGTCTTTCTACTGATCATCTTCCTATGGGGAATCGTCTCTTGTCGTCTTTAATACTCTAAATAACAAATTTGTAGAACATATATCACTGCAGAAGATTTTTAAAGGACTTATCAACACAGCAGTTATTGTTTCAGGATGCCTAAGACATATAATTTGGACTGATCCATGATTACCTAGATACGCAAACATCTAAGTACGCAGATAATCTGTGGTATTGTTAACTGTGTTTTGTGAGAAGGTTCAATTCAAATTTGCAAAGAACTGAAATAGTGTAACCAACAAAATCATGTATAACTGTGTAACAAAAAAATGTAGACTTACATCTGTTATCATTTTTCCACGTGTCTTGTTTCTCTCTCTATGGTTTGCTTTCTTCTCTAGCTGTTGCAGTACTCGCTCCCTCGTCGTTCTGTATTCAAGTGAGAATTCGGATACTATTCTACAGAACTCATTGGGTTTGGTGTCAGAAATCTGGTGCAGGGGAATCCCCAACCATAGAAGGAACTTATGAAACCTGAAATATGTCAATAATTTAAGTACTTGTACAAAATAGTTTAAACTAGATGACATTGGTATACATCTTAACATTGAAAAAACCAAGGTAATGACAATCAACCAAAATTATATTATTAATTATCAATTTTTTTAAGCAATAAGATACTATTTCAGATGAAGATGATCTAGGGATCGAAAGTACTTTAGCAAGATTAAATTCATTAAACTGTACTCGATATTTGCCCTTTATTTGATCAAAGTTCATTTATTCGAGCATTCAACCTTATATCAATTTATTAACTATGGCAATGTTGGTTGATACCTACAGAAGACTATCCTGCAAGAGAATGATTATATTCTTGAACATTGGGTTCGTTAGACAGTGCATTTCACATCAAGTCACTCCTACTTTTGCTAAGGTCAAAACATCAAAAAATGTACCTGATAAGGAAAAACAGATTTTGGAGAACAAGATCCTGAAAAGAGAACTTAAGAAGCACTATACCAAACTTCATCATATTAATGTCAATCTTAAAATTACTTATGATCAAATTTTGCAACAACACCCTTGGTTTCTTGTCAACGACTCCTTTAACAACATAGAAGATGAGGTCTCCCGCTTACAATCCACCAAGAAGAGAAGTCTTACCAACAAATTAAACCGTTTGATTTTGCAAAAACAACAGAGAAGCACCTCAACACTTATGCATAAGTTTTCAGATCACCAATTTCATCCTAGAGTCTTAAATCTAAGTAACACTAAGTTTTCAGAGGATGAACTGTACTTTTTAGGATTAGGCCTTAAGTTTTCTTGTCAGAATTTTAGGTTAAATGACTCAGTGCTGGAGGATTTGCAGTAGAGCTGGATACTCTAATAGAAGGTATGACTAACAATGCTGATATTAAACAATATTTGAGAAACTCTTGCATTAGCTTACTTCAACAACAACAATGTAAGTAGAAACGCAATTTTCACAGAAATCACCATATTTTTAAAAAACAAAAGGATTTGCTACAATCAATTAAACAAAAAATTGATAGAGATTCTCTTGTACTCAGCAAGGCTGATAAGGGAAATTGTGTTGTAATCTTAGAACAAATTCAATACATAGAGAAAGTAGAATCTTTTCTTTCAGATAACAGTTTTGTAGTTTTGGAAAAAAATCCACTTAACACCTTTATTAATAAAACAAAAGCAATGGTTAAATTGTTTAATGATACTATGACTAAATATAACAACAGAAAGTTAACTGTATCTAATCCTATAACACCTAGGTTATATGGACTTCCTAAAATCCATAAACACAATTGTCCCATAAGGCCTGTAGTAAGTTTTTGTAACACTCCAGTTTCTATGTTATCAGAGTTTATTTACAACACAATTCAGTCTGTCACTAATTTTAAACCTAAGTTCTCCATTAAAAATTCTTTAGATCTAATAGAACGTTTAAGTAACAGGATAGAAGAGGGTTTTTATTTAGTTTCTTTTGATGCTTCCAATTTATTTACTTCTATACCAAGAGATGACATACCTGTACACAACCTTCTAGACAATTGCAATATATCGGCAAAAGACAAAGATGCTATCTTAACTATGTTTAAATTCTGTCTGGATCAGGACTTCTTCCAATTCAATCAAAAAATATATAAACAACCAACAGGTTTAGCAATGAGATCTCCATTATCACCTTTTCTGGCTGATATTTTCTTAGACAGCTTAGAACAAAAGAAAATAGTTTTTTGGTCAAGATATGTTGATGATTGTATAACTCTCATACTCTATAGGGAACCCAATATGATGCTTTACAGATTCTGGATGATATTAATAACCTCCATCCTAACATCTCTTTTACTCTGGAACCAGAATCTGACAATAAGTTGAACTTCTTGGATATGACTATATCCCGTAAAAGATTCTTAGGGTAGCAGCACACAGAAAGAGGAACACTGTTTTAGTCAAAAACGTTTTTGTTTGAAACGAAAACGTTTTTGTTTCCACAAGAAACATTTTGTTTTCAAGAGAAACAAAATGTTTGCACAAACCATACTGCAATCAGTTTTATTAAAGATGTCGACAGATAACGACGAAATTGCACTAGTTTTCTGGCAGTGGTTCCTCCTACAGGACGAATAAACGAAAAATAAAAGACAATTTTGGCTGCATCCTATAAATGAGAAAAGAACTGCTAAAAAACTCTCCAGTCTTTGCTCCAAGAATTAAGGGTCTTTTAATTGATAGTTATATAAAGGAGGTCTGGCCTCAATCAGTACAATTAATTTTTCTGCGCCCACTTTCATGATACACACAATATAAACAAGCAAAATATCGCTGTTTCCACATGTGCTTCTTGTTGACTACTCGAGCGGTTTCAAGAAGGGAATTCCAAAAACACGTTGCGCCTGCGTACATTGAAATGTTTCAACACCAAACGACGATCTGGTAATCAACATCAAACAGACTGACTGAAACTAAATGAACCTAAACATGCTTTAGACACACGACTAATCAGTGTGCGTCAGCTCATTTCATTTACATGGAAACATCAGCATCAGACTCGTTTAGTCAAAAACGTTTTTGACTAAAACAGTTTTGCTCTTTCTGTGTGCGGCCACCCTTACAGAAAACGTACCCAAACAGATCATGTTATACATGAAACATCTAATCATCCAACCCAACATAAAATGGCTGCTTTTAACAGTTACATTCATAGGTTACTCAAAATTCCACTTTCTAATGATATGAACCAGAATATCTTAAGCTTACTAACCCTGCACAACGTATATTCAATGTAGACTAACGGGCCTTACAATTGTTCAGAACAAACATAGCAAAGTAATTTCCATGAGAGGGAAGAAGCAGGTTTCGACGCTTACTTCAGCAGAATTGGCAAACTGATTATTGCTATTATATGTATGAATGCTGCAGGAGTTTTCGTACCACCATTATTAATCTTCCCTAGAAAAAATAGTTGATGCTAGGAGCTCCCACTGGAGCAGTCGCAGAATGCCATGTGTCAGGTTCGGTACAGGCCGATATTTTCACTAGATGGCTTCAACACTTCATAAAATTCTGTTGGATGTTGCTTTTATGGCACCGCTGAAAACTTACTACGCAAAAGAAATAGAAAACTGGCTTAGAGAAAATCAGTTGAGTTTTGTGTCGCCTTATGCAGTTGCCAGTATTTTCTTATCTTACAATGGTTTCCGAAAAAATGGACTGGTCCCTATTTGTCGCCATATTTTTAGGGACTTTGAATTTGGAATTCAAGAGCACTCAGAAACACAAAACGAAAGGGACGAACAAATAATAGCACCAAACAGAACATAGAACTCCTAGTCCAGCACTACCTCATCAACAACTTGTTTCTCCGAAAGACATCTGTCCAATCCCTACATTCTACAAGAGAGATACCACTAAAAAACCACATGTCATATCAGGAAAAGTTTCAGTAATTACTCTAACACCCTACAAAGAAGAATTGGAGCAAAGTTTGCAGAAGAACAAAGCAAAAAAACTTGTATCCCAGCTAAATTTGGATTGTGTATTTGCGCCAGAAAAAAAAAACAGCAATGCCCGAAGAAGAAATAGTAGATGAAGAGGTAGGTCAACCTTCTTCATCAAAAGGCAAAACATCAAGAAGGAAGCAGAAAGTTTCTTCGAGTTTAAGCTCAGATAACAGTGAAGACTTTCCATTAGCTGATTCATCGTCCAACGAAAGTGGAGAGAAAACGATGCGGAATGTTTATTTTGCGCCAGCAAATTTTTCGACGACAGATATAGCGTACGATGCTCAAAGTGTTACCAATGTGGCAGGTGGGAATATGAAGACTGTGGAGAAATAAAGTCCAGCACATTTATTTGCCTTTTCTGCTAAGGAAAGAGCTTTTTTGAATAGTATCCCAAATTAAGGTACCTGTCTCAAGTTTAGATACCTGGCTATCCCAAATTTTTCTGTCGCAAAAAAAATTAAATATATTTTTTTGCAAAAATATGTTTTATTCTCTATATTTTTTTGTTGTTGTGTTCTAGAAGCATTAAATTTAAGTTTTCGAAATAAATGTTTTAAAAAGTTTTGAATATTCTGTATAATATTTGTTTTTCAAAAAAAGTGTATCAAATTTAGTGCTTTTCCTCTACATTGTGTCTTTAACTACCATTGGCAATGCTCAAAAAATTACTTCCACCACCTGTATATTTTTATAATACTAATAAATAAGTACGTATGCATGTTTAGTTTACAGTATTTTCAATTAAAATATCTTTGCCTATACACAGCTAATTACCTATTGATTATCCTTCTGTGTACTATTCCCAGGAGGATAATTCTTTCCGCGCAATCTGATAGGAAGTCAGACATCTTAACTTTCATCATTGTAGACCCATCGTGCTTGGCTATTACTTTTAAGTGGTCCCAGGAGGCTTTGCAATCTGCTTCGAGCCTTTGGATATTTAGGGCGAGTTCGTCGAAGTCGATCTTCGATGCCCTGGTTATAGCTCCAATCTAAAAAAAATTAAAATCAAATATTTCGTTATCTAGTTTTATTTAACCAACATGACAAGTTTTACCTTAACAACATTGTAATTAATTATTACAGTGTGCTAATGTTTAAAATATGTTTTGTATGTGAGTATTGTTTAGTTAATTACTATTTAACTGGGAATAAGCCACAATTAAAGATAAAAATACGTTTATTGACGTTTCAATTTCCACTTCGGAAATCGTTCTCAAAATACAAACAGTAAATTAAACAAATTTTGTTTTTTGTTACATAGTGAAAAATTCTTCTAATAATCTAATTTTATCTGACTCATTTATATTGACAATTCAGACATACATTATGCATTTTAAAGTAGACGATTTTACAATGATATTGCCAATATTGTTGAGTTGCGCTCCTGGGACGACTTTACTTATAAGATAGTTCATTCGATTACATGAAATCAACTTTAACTTGAGAATATCCGTCAGAAAAAAATCATAGCATGTAATTCGTCTTTAAAAAGACAAACACATGACACGATGACAGTAAAATTATTCTGTTAGTGATTCCATAGTAAATTATGAGGGAAAACCAGGAAAAAAACCTCATAATACTATCCTGACATTGTAAGTATTTGTTCGTGAATTTAGTTTACCTTCAACAAACGTCAAAATTCTGATTTTATATGTTACGTTATTTAAAAAACTTAAATGATGTATCCTCTATATGTTACTGACTTACTAATACTTCTATTTTCTTATTAATAACTTCCTCTTTCAATATTGGTAACCAGATCCTACTACATTCTGCCGAGGAATTTGCGACACAATTGGCCTCATTTAGCATCATTAGAGCCGCTTCTTTGATTTTTCTTTTTTTATCATCCGTTTCTTTTAGGACTACATTGGAGTTATTCCATTGAACCCTATGTTCATTATACCATGCGTGTTTACATATTTGAGATCTATCAAATTCTCTATTTTTAATATAAGATTGATGTTCACTTATTCTAACATTTAATGGCCTTGATGATTCACCTAAATAAAACTGATCGCATTCACAAGGTATTTTATAAATGCAATTCTTTGTCCTTTCTTGTTCATTGTTAGGTTTGGTTTTGGACAAAATAGATCTCAACGTGTTTGTTGTTTTGAATGTTGTTGAAATGTTGAATTTATTTCCTATCCTTTTAAGTTTTTCTGATAATCCTTTTATCCTACAGCATACACAAAGAATAATATGAAAAAAATAACAATAACGTACATAAAATGAATTAATTTACAATGCCACAAGAAAATAGCTTCAGAACAGTATTGTTTAGATATCGCACCCTCAGTTCAAGACTGCAGTAATTCAAAATTGTATGAAACTGAAGTAATCATAGAATTCGATTGTAAATATCCATATCTATCCCCTGTAAAACTTTAGTAACTTTCAAATGCTTAACCGGCTAAATTTTACAACAGTTTAACTATTTTGCGTTTTTGTACATAAGTTCCGAGCAAAACTGTTGTAATTCTAATGTAACAGTTACAACAGTTTTGCACGGAACATTGCAATGGTTTCGATAACAAGCAATGAAAGGCACGAAGAAAGTAAGATATTTGTTATTTTAATATTTATATCTGTGTTATTTAATTTTAATATACAGCGTGTGTATGTAATCCATTCACGGCCGAGACAATAAACAAAGATTTACGAGACCAATCTATTTATGTAAAGGAAAAACAGTTATCTTAAAACTTATGTAAGTATTAACAATACTGACAGGTTAAAAATATCTATTCTCAAAAAATTTGTTCTACAAAAACTAAATCCCAAATTGTATTAAATCTTCATGTAACCTTCCGGGGCGATTGTTTTATCATAATTCATCCTGATAATTCCCAACTTTTACTAAGGTAGTGAATTTCAATTATTTTGTTAATCACTGTACTCAAGGTAGCCTGATTTGCATATTTTTATTACAGTCCTTTTGTTTTGAATTTAAATAAAAATATTGAAAGTTTTACAAATAATTTTTCTACCTTGTTATGACATTGTCATTACAAAGCGAGGGAATTGTGGCTATCAGAAACATGTGCAGAGATAAAAAGATTAAATTGCCGCTAGCAATAAGCCGTTTTATTAGGTACCTATTTATTCTAGGTAGCCCTGTCCCTTTATCTACTAGGTAATTTCTGGGATTCCATTAAATGTAACGTTTAGTACTATTCTTATCGTTGTTGGAGATTACTTTCTCTTTACCTACCCTGATTAACTAATTAGAAACGAGTTCTCAGGGAAGAAGTACGAGTAGATACATTTTAGTAGTGTAGTTTTTAATATAATCTATTATTGGCTCTTGCAAGTGATAGATGCAGAATTAACGATTTCGAAAATATCAAAATTTAATAGTTCCAGAACATTGAGGATTTTATCCCTGTGTGCGCAGACAAGTGAGGATAGCAACGACACGCACAGTAAGTTGAATTTAAATTAATTGTTGTATTATAATCTATCTACTATTGTTTTCAAATTCAATGGTGAGAATTTCTACGACTAGTGTAAACTGAACGAAATAGGGGCGTTCAAAAAAATACTTCTGATTTAAGCAAAATGATTACAAGTACATAAACACAATGTATTAGATGAATTATTAATGATGAAGTATATTTAGACAGATATAAAAATTCTGCAATGTAGAAAAGATAGTCCGCACACAATTTTCTTTAAGTACAACTATGATAACGAACTATCGAATTCTCTTAATTAAAAAAAATCATCACGGACTACACATAATATACGAGAAGTGCTACTTAAACCTGCCTTCAAAGAACAGCCAAAAATTCAAATGGCCAAAAAGAAAGATTTGGTATACTTATGCCATTCGGGTATGACACCAGAAGCCCACCATAGTTTTTATAAAAATATTTTGGCCCAAGATGATATACGAGAAGAGGACAACAACTAACAGAAAATGTGTCTACACTTTTTACAATTTTTCCGTCCAAAAGTTGTAACTTTGAAATTCCTATTTTTTTTTAAACTGGCATGGAAAGTGGAAAATAGCAAGTAGCACGCGTCCAGCATGTTATTTAAAATGTATCCACTGCAAACGAATAATTAGAATGAATGAGGTCACTGTCATTTTGGTGTGCGCTGAATTATTCGTTTTCATTGGTTACATTTTAATTAATATGCTAGACGCGCGCTACTTGCTACTTGCCATGCCAGTTTGGTGGGCGATTTCCCTTAGGTCACCATCAATATGTTGGAATTTAGAGTATGATTTACTCTAAAAGTTTGTTGGAAAAATATAACGCATTTTGTCACAAAATTTAAAAATTATAAAAGCTAGTAACAAAAGTTTTAAATGGTTTTAATAATCGTTTAAGACATTTAACAAAAAAAAACTTACCTCTGAATACAAATCGGTAGCATCTGGAAACTTCTCCATGACAATATGGCAAAGGTGGTGCAACAACGAATGCTTGTGAACCGTATCCTTAACTTCAGGTACTTTGGCTAGATACTCAATTTGAAAACCCCTCACTTCATTCCCATTCAGGAAATTTCCGACAGAGAGCAACGTACTCAGAATTCCCCTAAAAGTTTTATTTACACGCAGAACTTCAAAGCCCTGCTTGAGATCCATAAGGGGCTCAGCGATTTCACGTTCTGAGTTCTCGAAATCCAGTTTAAAAGCCCACAGCTTCAGACGAGCTGGCAGCTCAGAAATGGAGGCTAAGGTTAAAAGGAATTGCTCGGCACTACCGAGAGGTATGTCAGGATTGGCGGCTTGGGCCTCCTGTATCTTGGTTCTCTCTTCTTCCGTTGGTAACATGGTGAGAAGTTTCTCGATGCCTTCGCGGTTCATAATTGTTGCGTCCATTTTTAAGATAGCGGTTTTAATGGAGCGAGGTGGTGGGAGCTTCGTCATACCGATGTTGATAGCATTGGAACGTTTGGGATCCAGAACTATGATCTCTTTGTTTTTATTCATTTCTTGTTGTTTCTAAAATTTAACAATTTCGTTATTTTTATTTATAAACAAATTGTATACATACAACTACTCGTAAAACATAAATTATAAAAGAAATAAAATATGATAAAACAAAAATATGCGAGAGTTCATGACATCCTTATATTTTTAATATAAAAATTGTTTGGAAAAGTATTTAGAGTTTACTTAAATATTTAACTTCTTTACTATTTTTAATAACACAGGATTTTTAACAGAATATGACCCTATTTGATCGCTACTTTCATATATTTAAATTTTCCGCAATAACATCGACAATAATAATATTTTTTATCAAATCTGAGAACCACATGTCTGTTAATTATCCTCACGAAAGTGAGAAAGTCAATAATTTACCACAAACCACTCGAGTTAAGGGGTTTTAAAGTGTTTAAAAGATTAACTTCGAAGGTTAACTGTATTCTTACCTGACACATGTAACATTTCAAGGAGAGTAAGTGTGTCTTTTGTGCTAATAGTAATATTTTATGAGTAATGCCAATTGATATTTTTCTTTACAATAATATACAGATTGAACGAATTTAAAACGGATCATACAATTTAATATATGTCTGTTTGAACTGCATTTGAAATAGTGGACCAATATAAAACTTGGACAAAAATAAATCCATACCTGGGTATAGACATTGTATAAAAATATCGTTCAACTATCTGTCTCACAACAATGTTGTTTGCGTAAAGGAAGCGTTAATAGTTCAGGAAATGAAGCTCAAAAAAGTTAAAACTTCGCAATTTTTTCGTCCTGAATTGATTGAGTTGAAATTTTAACAGAAGGTAGGTGGTAGCCCAAGGATCAAAATCTATATTGAACCGAAGTGCGCTGAAGGGTTTTAGGGGTGAGAACTCCCATTAATTGTCAAAAATTATAAAGTAACATATTAAACCTGAATATGGGTAAGATTTAGTTTGAATTAGTTAAATAATGATTATTTTATACTTTTGAATAGAGTTCCATTATATTTCAACCCTTAAAAAGCAACCCTTGTTAGGGAATAATGTGAAAAAATTACTAATTCTAAAAAAATGATTTTGCCTTGGATCGATTTGGATAAAAATTTGGATTTAAGCTCAATTCACCCACTGCTTTATAGTTTATGTCATGTCGACGAACCCTGATTGTTCTTAGGGTTGAAAACTAACCCTAATTGTAAAAAATTATAAAATAACATATTGAACCTGAATATGGGTAACATTTGGTTTGAATTAATTAAATAATGATAGTTTCGTGCTTTTAAATAAAGTTCCATCATATTTCAACCCTTAAAAAGCGACCCTTGTTAGAGATTAATGTAAAAAAAAGTAGTAATGCAAAGAAAATGATTTCGCTTTGGAACGATTTGCATAAAAATTTGGAATTAAGCTCAACTCATCCTCTGCTTTATGTTTATGTCATGCCGATGAACCCTGATTGTTCTTATGGATGAAAATTACACCTAATTTTCAAAAATTGTAAAATAACATTACAAATCTTAAGATGAGTAAATTTGGTTTGGATTAGTTAAATAGTGATTTTTTTATTCTTTAAAATACAATTTCATACATTTTCAACCCTTAAAAATCAATTGTTATGAGTGCTATAGGTGAAAACAATTTTTTGTCAAAATTTTGCAACTTTTCAACTTTTGAAAATCACCCGTTACAACATTGCAGTTTTTATAAACTAATTTAATAGATATAAATTGAAAAAAGTAGAATTAAATACAAAAAAATTTATCAACATAAAAAGGCACCATATATTCTTAGACATTTACATAAATAGTTGAAAATATTTACATTTATAGGTAAAACAATTATAATATTAATTTTATTCGTCATCAATTACATCTTCATCGTGATCTATGTTATCCTCATCTTCTTCAATTATTGGTGGACTATTATTTCACCCTTCACCTGAGCACCCAGAACAAGTAGAGTTACAGTATAAACCAACTTTTCTGCACCCACATGAAACGCTGCATCCTTTTTTGCATTGGCAAAAAATAATTTTCAAAAGTTCATCTTGAGCAGGTTGTTTGTTCATGCGTACGGGTAATAGCAAATCATCTTTGGAATACCATCCCCAAGCTGTTGCTCTGATATTTTAATTGCCAAGCCATAGACATATAATCAGATGTTTTATTCTGTTGTTTGGGATTTCAAAATAAGAACGCTTAAAATTTCGAATGTATAAAGCCCCACTACCTAATATACCGGTTTTGTAGATTATTATGCTCCGAAATGTACTATACTATACTAACGGAATTTTCCGGAAAAAAAATTAATTGGTTTTTTAACGTATTTCCTTCATTTTTAACGATAGAGTGTTTCTTCAAAAACGATTTTGTAGAGGTTTTTATGAGCTACAAGGATCTGTGAATTAAATCTTTTTGGAACCCTTGGTTTTTAAATAGAGTGAGTTTAAAGGGCTCGAAAAAGATGGTGCTTGGTCGTAAATCGATGCTTTAAACGTGAATCTCGCCAAATATTCATTGTAAAACAAATCTAAATAAAAGAAAATTTTAGTCATTAAAAAAGCTATAAT